GTTCTCTCTCATGTAGTGGCTACTCTAGTATCCGACTGATGGTCAGCATTCAGTGAATGGAGGGCTAAGCTAGGTTGTGAGAGACTGGGATTGTTGGGCTAGGAAGCCCAGCACTTCCAACAGTGGCAAGATTCTGTTCCAGTAGGATTGCATTTTATTTTATTTATGTATTTATTTGAGACAGAGTATTGTTCTGTCTTTCAGGCAGAGTGCTTTGGCATGATCGTGGCTCACTGGAGTCTCGACCTCGTAGGCTCAAGTAATCCTCCCACCTCACCCTCCCAAGTAATGGAACTATAGGTGCACACTACCATGCCTGACTAATTTTGTTTTAAATTTATTTTTTGTAGATATGGGGCCTTACTATGTTACCTAGGCTGGTCTCAAACTCCTCGGCTCAAGCAATTCTCCTGCCTCAGCCTCCCAAAGTGCTGGGATTTCAGGCATGAGCTACCATGCCTGGCCTGGTTGCATTTTAAAATCAAACCTTTGTAGACCCTTGCTTCTCTTTGCTGTAATTTAATGATTTGCCTAAATACTAAAATCACTCATAAAAAAAAGTCTATTTCCGTTTTAAAAGGACAAGATAAGTAAGTAGATGCTTCATCCTGAGCTGGGAATGGAGAATAGCTGCAAATAGGCACAAGGTTTCTTTTGAGGGGTTAGAAATGTTCTATTAGATTGTGATATAAATTGTCTTCTGTAAATTTATTAAAAATCATTGAATTGTACACTAAAAATGTGTGAATTTTATGTATATGTAAGTTATACTTCAATAAAGCTATTTTTAAACAAAGAACAAGATATAAATCCTAAAATTCTAGGGCAGCCAAAAATTTAATGTGAAAAAGCTGCCAAACCTTTAATTAGTGGGTCAAAGTTTAATTGCTGGTATTTTCCAAATTTCCCCCATGATGTTGAAAAAGAAATGATGTTTCATCTGAAACCAAACACCAGGAAACTCTACAAGGTGTGCATTATTATCTACATTTTCTAACAGGGGAAATGAGGACTCAGAAGGTTAAATAACTTGCTTAAGATTCACAGCCAACTAGAACTGGTGACAGCGTCAAACCCAATACTGTCTGGCTCCAACAGCCATGGCTGCTGTCCTGTTGATATCATGCACCCTCTCTCTGTGAATGAGAAGAAGCCCTTGCATTGTTTCACTTGAGATCATCTTCCTTCTCTCAGAAGACCACAGCTAGCTGATTTTCCAGTGTTACTATCTGCATTTTGCATTTTGTACTTGAGAAGATTCCCTAAAGGGAAAAAAGACTAGACCAAAATATCTTTCTTTTTTTTTTTTTTTTTTGAGACAGGGTCTGGCTCTGTCACCCAGGCTGGCGTGCAGTGGCGTGATCTTGGCTCACTGCAATATGACTTTATCACTACATGGTATGACTTGCAGAGGTGTCTGCATAAGAGTTTTTGAAGGACTAGTCACTGTCATGTTTCTTGCACGTGGGTTAACAGCCCAGTTTTAGATCACTTGATACATTGGGTAGCTTGCTCCTACCTGTTTTATGAAACAGAATGCTAGAAAATTATAAGCTGATGGGGCTTCCATCAGGTCTTTCCAGCTTTGGCCAGGCCTAGTAACATTTTTGTCTTCAGTTGTGTTCTCTTAGCATCTAACATTCTTTCCTTCTTGCCATCTCTCTGTCTTTTCGATCGTTAACTATTTAACCAGATATCTGGGTGACGCCTCTCCAACCTGTCCTGGTCTTACTAAGCCTCGCATGGCCACCTGCCCTTCCTGGATACTTCCAGGGGTCAGGCCCAGGCAGTTTCCTTCTAGCCTCTCTGGCTCACTTGCTCTTCCCTCTGTGCCTTTGTAAACAACACAGATCCTTTCCTTTATCTTTTCCTTCCTTTTTTTCTGGGATATGTTCATACTCCCTTTCAACTAGTTGAAACAAAATAAACCAAACCAAACCAAAAATAAATAAAAACAAGAAACCAAGCCGGTACCAAGCCTGCAGAACATGTCTGTGGGCCAAATTTGGACTCTTGAATGTTGGACTTTTGCTTTTTCATGTACAAAGCAATGTCGATGACATTAAAAAAAAAAAAGTAAATGTTGTGATAATATAACACTGATTATGAAAATGGGTATCACAGTGCTTTATTTTTCCCTCTACCAATATCCTTAGAAACAGGGAGTAAACAGAAACTTCTGCTTCTACATATTTGGCCATAGTACAGTTTATTAGATTTGAGACTCTTACAATGTCGTTCACTTTTCAACATAAAGTTCATTTGTAGGAGTCCCTGAGTCACTTCTTGTGTACTCAGAGATAATTAAATGCCAGGATTTGAAAAGTTGTTAAGGTAGTTTCAGGAAATCAGCTGTCTTCTAGTGGCAGTAGTGGAGTGTGTATTCAGCTGCTTGACTCACTACCCCAGCAGGCAGCTTGCTTTTTTTGTGAACTATAGGCACTAACCATCCCCAGAACATGTTTTCAAAACTAGGCAAGTGCCTTCTTACTGACTTATGTACCATAGTCTCACTTGATACTCCCAATGTCTTCACAGCAGCCAGTCCAGCTCCCTTAGAATGGTCCATCACATACCACATTTCCAGCAAAGCAGTGCCTAGGACTAACTCCAAACTGTTTCCTTCGGTATTTTAGAAACACTGGGTCAGGCACAGTGGTTCACGCCTATAATCCCAGCACTTTGGGAGGCCAAGGCAGGAGGATCGCCTGAGCCTAGGAATTTGAGACCAGCCTGGGCAACATAAGGCCCCATCTCTACAAAAAAAAAAAAAAAAGAAGAAGAAGAAAAATAAAAATTGAAATATTGCTTTTTTTTCCCTCTTCTGGATTTTATGCAGGTGTACCTAAATTCAGACAAAAGATGTGTTCTGAGAGAACTCTCTGCTTTAAAGGACTTCAAGATAGCTCTCTTTTTAGGCAATGAATATGTCTATGAAACAGTCACCCTGCGCTGATTCATTTTGTAGGTCCAAAATTTTTCCCTAGTAGATTTGCACGGAGGAATTTCATTATAATTCAGTTAACAAATACATTTCCTCTATAAAGGGCACTTTCAGAAGCACTACATAAAGTACCTGGATTTGGACACATTGCGATTATCAGGTTTATAGTACATTTTCTATACAGTAAATATAGTAAGAAAAATGGCTACATTTCAAGATGGGTTATTGTGTATATATAATCATTGAGAAATTAATGCTTTCTGTTTTCATCAATGTGAAAATGTCAGCACTAGGAAATGAGGATGAAAAAGTTGATTTATTGTGTGCCTATTATGTGCCAGGTCCTGGAGTAGGTATTTTAATGTCAGATGCAGCTCAGTGTTGGATGTGAATCTGCTGGCTCTAAGGCTGAACTACCTGAGTTTGAATCTCAGCCTTCCCACTGCTGTGAGGATTCAGTGAGAAAGAGTGTCCAAAGTATCTGGCCCATGCTGGTGTGATAGCAAGAACTCAGTAAGTAGGCAGTGTCCCTCTTTAATAGACAAGGAGACTGTCTCAGAGTGGTCCAGTAACTTCTATAATGTTTTCTGCAGTATGTTGCAGAGGCAAAATTTGGAACCAGGGCTTGACTGGGCACTCTGATAAAACCGCTAGCCAGGAGTTCTTGTTCTAGGCTGCTGGGAAAATCTATGCTACCCTCGCTAGAATGATGGCCTCTACTGAGAGACAAAGTTGCTCTTAAAGCCAGCAAATTCACAAATAAACATTTCTACATGCAGAAAAACTTTCAAAGGGCCAGATTCAGCAGTCAACTATTTCTTAAAGCTCTTCTTCCCCCCACTGGACAGCAAATTCTCAGCTATATGGATAGGTCTATGTTTTTCAAAACCTGTGCATGATTTATGAAACATATCAAATACACCAGTCCTCCCAATACCTCTGCTGTGTAAATGTTACCATCTATGCAAATATCAACTTCTAATGCCAGCTTAAGGAAACTGTAAGGATGATGTTCCTGTAGCAGCCATAAGACAAACCTCCAGGGTTTTTTGTGGGGGGAGGCATGGAGGGAGTGGTTGACTTTTTAACTTGGCCATATCAGTCAGACTGGATTTCAGTGCTTTTTTTTTTTTTTTTTTTTTGAGGTGGAGTCTTGCTCTGTCACCCAGTCTGGAGTGCAATGGCGCCGGCTCCGCTCACTGCAGCCTCTGCCTCACTCCTGCCTCAGCCTCCCAAGTATCTGGGATTACAGGCGCCCACCACCACGCCCGGCTAATTTTTGTATTTTTAGTAGAGAGGGGGTCTTACTATGTTAGCCAGGCTGGTTTCGAACTCCTGACCTTGTGATCCGCCCACTTTGGCCTCCCAAAGTGCTGGGATTACAGGCGTGAGCCACTGCGCCCAGCCTTCAGTGCTATTTAAATAGCTCTTCTAGTGTGGGCTTCAACTGAGAACATCCCTGTTTTCATCCTCAAGGTGGTTTTTCTGCTCAGTGTTCTTGTTGACCACGTCTGGGCTGCTGCAGGACAATGACTGAAGTTTTAGTAGTGAAAGAGTTCAATAGTGTTGACACTGAAACTGGAAAATCATTTTACTAATGTAGGATGATGCTTTACTATATTGAAATCTTAGACAAATAGATGACCCATAGCCCCAATACAGGTAGGATTTATTTTTTGTAATAAGCTGAGTCTCTTTTTCCTTTAGATGTATATGTAAAAGAGAAGATGGATGAAAACTAATGTTTCACAAGTGATATGGGCTTAATATAGCACAAAAACAAGAAGAATTGGTGCTGAGTATCACATAATTTTTATTGCAGTTTACTTCCTAGCACTTAATCTAGTCAAAATATTTTTCTTCACAACATTGCTACTTTCCGAACAACTTAGACGCTTAACTATATTCTGTCATCTAAATTTATATCTGCAATAAGGCATGGAGTGTGTGCATCAAATTTTAGGCAAATGAAAAGAACTCGCCCCAGGATACTGTTATGGATGTGACAATTTAAGAAGCTACACATCATCTCAAACTATTCTGTTTTCTTTGCCAGGGTTCAGCGGATTCCTACACAAGCAGGCCGTCTGACTCCGATGTCTCTTTGGAAGAGGACCGGGAAGCAATTCGACAGGAGAGAGAACAGCAAGCAGCTATCCAGCTTGAGAGAGCAAAGGTGACTCTTTCCCTCTCTTTAGCTCACAAGTGGGTCGCTGCTCAGTGGCTACCAGCTGCTCTTCCCCTACCTCACACATTTCTGGAATAATCATTTCGTGATTATTCTAATAAGCCTCCAGATTGGGAAGCTCTCTGATCCCTTCACCTCTAGTTGAGGTTAGTAACATCTCCAAAGGGGCATTTCCTCAGAACCTTCACCTTTTTGTATTTGGTTTGGTGGTGAATTATTGGTTATCTTCCAACTTAGCAATATCAAGCCTCCCATGCCCAGTGTTGGCAGAGAGCCCACCAGGTGCCAGCTCGCCCTGTCTATTCCTGGCCCCTCCTCGTCCATTACCTCAGCCTTTATTACAGGCCACACGTGTGCTGTTGCTCTGTGGATCACCCTGTTTGTTTCTCTATTCTTCTCTCTCGCTTTCAGTGTCCCACCTCAAGTTCAGTGTGAAGTTCAGGACTTTGAACAACTCTGAGAAGTGCAGCAAAGATGAGCAATAAAGGCCATTGCCAAAATAGACCTTCAGATATTCCACAAGGAGAGGCCTCCATAGAAATCGCTGCATCCACAGGAAGCAGCAAGGAAACAATTGCACAGTTGAAAGTTAGAACCAGAACAGTCACTAGGGATCTCCCATTCTGTGTGCTTCCAACTTCGTTTTGTTTGTTTTCTGATTTTTTGAAGCACAGACCCCTTTTGTCCAATGACATTTTATGCACAATAGCAAAATACAAGACAAGGTCATGGCCAGTCTGTCCTCTTTGCCCTCCATGACAGACTCCTAAGGTATATTGATTTAGTCTTTCTGATTTTTAGAAGAAGAAAAAACAGAAGCCCAAATAAAGTGAATTCCTTCCCTTTTCTATTTTTATTGTAAAATCTTTAGAGGTGAGAGGCTGTGCGTGGTGGCTCACACCTTAATTCTAGCTACTTGGGAGGCTAAGGTGGGAGGATCACGTACCCAGGAAATAAAGGCTTCAGTGAGCTGAGATCATACCACTGCACTCCAGCCTGGGCAACAGAGCAAAACCCTACCAAAAAAAAAAAAAAGAAAAGAAAAGAAAAAAGAGGGGCCAGGTGCAGTGGCTCATGCCTGTAATCCCAGCACTTTGGGAGGCCGAGGCAGTCAGATCACAAGGTCAGGAGTTATAGACCAGCCTGACCAACATGGTGAAACCCCGCCTCTACTAAATATACAATAAAATTAGCCGGGCGTGGTGGTGTGTCCCTGTAATCCCAGCTACTCAGGAGCCTGAGGCAAGAGAATCACTTGAACCCAGGAGGCGGAGATTGCAGTGAGCTGAGATCACGCCATTGCACTTCAGCCTGGGTGACAGGACGAGACTCTGTCTCAAAAAAAAAAAAAAAAAAAGAAAGAAAGAAAGAAAAAAAAAGAGGTGGGAGGAGAACAATGCAGTCAAATTAGGTGTCTTCATTTGCCTCAACACCTGTGATGCTTGTGCTCTGTTGGTGGAAGGGGCTTTTCTTGCAGTACATGTGAAGGCACATCAGTGAGGTTCTAGCCTCAACTGCTGTTCCCCAGTCAGATTCCCAGCATGAATACATAAGCTGGTAACAAAGCAGCTCAGAATATCAGGAATCTTGTGTCTCACTGTGGCTAATTTTTGTTATAAAATTTTCTTTCAGAATCTGTTTTGTGGCCATTGTGGTCACCCAAATGTGGGTGGCAGCACCGTTTGCTTAGGCTGGTGGTTTACTTGTCCCCACAGGGCTGTGCCAGCCTGAGAGCACTTTGCTGAGAGGCATTTGTGTAAAGAGTTTCAAAACCAGCTGTGTTAGCTAGAGAGAAGATGATCTGTGAAGAGCCCTGCCCATCAGCTTTGACGCTGACTAACCCTTCTTTTCCCTAGCAGGACCAGATAGTCTGTTGTATAGAATTCCACAGGTTTTCAAATCTGGACTATTTCAAAAATACTATTTTATCCTCTTCCCACTTTTTTTTTCTTTTTAAAAAGACCTAGCACATGTTTCCTGTATTCCAAGGTAAGAAGGTATTGGTTATCATTTAAAATAAGCACAGATTTTAAGATTAGAGAAAAGACTGTCCTTTCCCCCCACCTTTGTCTATCCCTCTTAATACTTTAGAGCACATTTTAAAATTCGGAATATTGGAAAGTATTGCAGGAGAGGAAAAACAATTGGGCTGAAAGGACCGAAACATTTTCAGAGTCATCTCTGCAGGTTTCTTGATATTGCCTGAGAATGCAAAACTCATTTGAGATCCCTCTTTGGAAAGTTATTTCTCTTACTACCTGGTACGATCAGAGTTTCAGTATTTAAAATGCTCCTCTCTCCTCCCTTCCTCATTCCTTATTCCATGGTTCTGTCCCTAGTCCAAACCTGTAGCATTTGCCGTGAAGACAAATGTGAGCTACTGCGGCGCCTTGGACGAGGATGTGCCTGTTCCAAGCACAGCTATCTCCTTTGATGCTAAGGACTTTCTACACATTAAAGAGGTAAATGTAGAACATACTGTATCCCTTCACCTGCCAAAAAGCTGAAGCCAGGAATCAGCTCTGAGCCAGACTAGCCAGAGAGGAGACCCAAGGAGCTGACAGTGCGGTACCTCATTTAATTTGCTGAGCCTTCCAAATCTGGTCATTTTCATCAAGATTGAGAAGTCTGAGATCATTGCTTGCATTATCACACACTTACAAAGGTAAATCACAGTCAACCCTAAAATTATAGCATGAATTTCCGACAGACCTCTATGGTCCTCTGGGCACCTTAAATCCCCTTCTGTGACCGCAGAGCCATAAATATATGGATCCAGCTTAGGAAAATGTAAGTTTGGTGGCATGGCACCTACCCAGAAGGGACTATTTACAGGGAATGTTGTAATTATAGACATGTAGACTATAGTCCTGTGCACCTTGACCATGGAACCAACACTAGAGTGTATAATCATTCAAAGAAAGATTTACAGCTAAGAAAAGGGCAGAGGACTCTGGGAAGCAGACAGGCAAAAGGGTAAAGTGTTTGAGTAGCCAAGAAGGGTGGATCCAAGACCCCTAGTGGAGGGACAGACCTTTGATGGAAAGAAGAATGCTAATTCATTGTGACAATCAGGGAAAAGATGAGTGCAGGCACAGACACTTCGAGGCCTTGGTAATAAGAAACTGAGGACCCATCAACTTCAACCATGGCCTCTACTTTCTTGATGGTACATGGGGTGAGGATGTCTACATTTGTCTAGAAGACAGAAACTCTTGACCTGAAACATGTGCCCTGGCATCTGAATAGTTAAGTTGATGATGTCTCACCATTCCCATCAAAAATGTCCAAACAATATTCATTAATTGCTAACACCCCCTATGTCCAAGGAGAAGCAGCCCTTGAAAAGGTAAGAGACGTTCTTACATGTCACATGCACACTCACTCACACCAACATTCCAACCTTGTATTTTATTGCTTTCCTGCATTTTATCAATGTCTCAATTTGTCCTGGCTGCGGTTTGAGCTATGTGCTTGTTGATCAGTGATTTTCTCTTCAGTCTGGCAGTTTGATGTGTGGCATTGAGCTGATAATCCTATGTGGACCAGAATTGCCTGTTTTTATGTCTTGAAATTATCAGATAAGAAAATATCTTTGAAAGAGAAAGTGCTAATCATTTTAGGGAAATCCAAATAGAGAAGGGTTGGAACAACACCGAGGTGACCTTTGTAGAGAGCTGGCACAAGCTCCCAGAACATCGACACAAATGAACACATTTCTATAATCAAGTTATAGCCTTTCCTCTCATCCATCACTTAGAAGGCCATCTATTATGCACCATGTTAAGTACTTTCTCAGTAACAAATAAAAGTTTAAATGCAGAGAAAAGCTACAACTATGCTTGTTATGTAAGTCAAATGATGATCTAATTAAGCTCTTGAATTTACATAGTGACTTTCTCCCTAGTAACTCAAAAAACTTTTATTCACCCTGAGTCAGATTCTCACTGTGCTTTAGCCGTTTCCTAGAACTAAGTTAAAACATTTTGGGAAGTTGCATTAACCATTTCAGCAAGCCCTTTAAAGTCACTTGGGTGCCATTTAACAAATGAGTGTTCCAGTGGGCTAACTTCATTTCAGGAAATAACTTAAGCCCTAGGAAACTATGACTCATGGTCTGCTTTGTCCTCAACACAGTAAAATTTAAATTCCAGACCTATGCACCTAAGATTCTAAAAGGGTCCCTTTGCCCTTTATTAATTCCAAAATAAACAGACCTATTATTTTAGGCCTGTTATACTAAAATAAAAGACAGGAAAATGGGGAGAAACACCTAAGACTTAGATTGTTAAAGGTTTTATATCACGTCAGTTCACATTTCTTTTCTTTTCTTTTTTAATTTTTTTTGAAGACAGGGTCTTGCTCTGTTTTCCAAGCTGGAGTGCAGTGATGCAATCACAGCTCACTGCAGTCTTGAACTCCTGGGCTCAAGTGATCCTCCCACCTCAGCCTCAGCCTCCCAAGTAGCTAGGACTACAGGTGCACTACTACACCCAGCTAATTGTGTAGTGTAGTATAGTGCACTACACTAGCTAATTGTGTAGTACACTAGGACTACAGGCACACTACTACACCCAGCTAATTATGTGTGTGTGTGCATATAGATGGGGTCTTGCTATGTTGCCCTGGCTGACCACAAACTCCTGGCCTCAACTGATCCTTCTACCTCAGCCTCCGAAAGTGCTGGGATTACAGGAATGTGCCACCATGCCCAGCCCTCAATTTACATTTGTTTCAATGCAATCTTATACTATATGCCACTCATATAGTATACATGGAGAAGCTGTGTGCCTAACAAAGGCCAAATTCTTACCAGACCACATTTCTCATGAGTGTGAAGCTGTTACTCAGAATAACTTAAAGTTTACCCAGAACTTCATGCTATGATAATTCAATGAAACCTTCCATTCCTCCTTCATAATGTATCAGAATCATGTATATACACACACACATACATATATTTCACTTTTCTATGAGCTCAGCAAAACAAACTACATATCATTGTTACATTTTGAAAAAAAAATATATGTTTATAAATATATATGTTTTGGGTCAAAGTAGGAGAGAATTATCTTGCCCAACACTGATAAAAACAGTAAAGGAAGTTTTTAGAATCATCTCCAGAGAGTTTAAACAATAGAGCTGATACCTATTTTGTAGAAGTGACCTAGCAGAAATCTTTCCTTGAGGCAGGGAGCTTGAACCAAATTGCTTTCTGCTCTATAATTCAGCAAATGTATGGTTAGAAATGCAATTTTACTGATCCACCAAATAAGCCCACATTGACAGACTCTCACCCCACACTGGTTGAAGCCTTTGCATAGACTTGGGTCTTCAGTTTACATGTCATGGAACTTAACTTAAATGGAAATTCTGGAGTTCCCCTTGGGCTTCAGAGCGTTTGGAAATTGCTTGCAAAATTTCACATACAAATATATAATATGCTCAGACTTTGTAAGAGTAGGCATCTTTTTCTTCAAGTAGTAAGTTGGACATTAATTTGCAAATCTATATTTGAAAGATCATGACTCTTCCCCGGTGAGATTAGACTACAGATAGTATCGTGGAATTTTTACCTGAAAGCTTTTGACAAATTATGGACTATTGAATGTATTTCATCTCAGACATAACCGTCTTGCCTTCCAGAGTTCCAATTACATTGGTGCATATTTATCCTTGTGAAATATGTTCTTTAAGAATTGGTTAGAGCTTCTTGACAAAGACCAAAAGAATCCAAAGGTTAGGACCAGACATTAGTCCAGGGGTTCACAAACTATAGCCCACAGGTCCAGTCTGACCCACTGCCTTTTTTGTAAAGAAAAGTTTTATTGAAACAGAGCCATGCTCACTTGTTGATGTTTGCCTGAGGCTGCTTTCACACAAGGACAGCAGATTCAACTAATTGTAACAGAGACCACATGGTCTGCAAAGCCTAAAATATTTACTACTTGGACCTTTACAGAAAAAGTTTGCAGAACCCTGCTTTAGTCTATGAATCTACCTCAGATGTATAGAGAGATATATATACACACACATATATATACACACACACAATATAGTTTATATAAAATATAGTACAGGTATATATACACACGTATACATATACAATATAGTTTATATAAAATAGTATAGACATATAGACATACACACATATACATATACAATATAGTTTATATAAAACATAGTATACTATGAGAGTATAGTTTACATAAATATGGTATATAGTATGATGTATACAATATAGTATACACATACATAGAAGATATAATTTATATAAAATATGGTATACACATATACATATAAAATATAGTTTATATAAAATATAGTATATCATATCATATAAATAGCATTTTATTCTTCCTGTCCCCTAAGATTCATAAACAACGTGAAGATAAGTGAATTACTATTTATAGCAATTTTATTTCTGAATTCCAGAAATATAACAATGATTGGTGGATAGGAAGGCTGGTGAAAGAGGGCTGTGAAATTGGCTTCATTCCAAGTCCACTCAGATTGGAGAACATACGGATTCAGCAAGAACAAAAAAGAGGACGTTTTCACGGAGGGTACGTTCCCATCTTTTCTATGCACTTTTTGTTTGGTCAGAAAATTGGGTGATATTTTCAAGAGTGTATGCTGTCAAAGTAGAAGATACTTTTCTGTGTGCAAGGTGTTTCTGAAATTGACACAGAAGAGTTTCAGATAGTTCTCTACCTTCTGTGCATGCTGAAGCCTAACACCACTGGAGACCATATGAATTCCATGGCAAAGACTGTTTTCTGTGGCCTCAGCAAGCCCTCCTTGGAACCCAAGCTTTCCTCTAGGAGAGTCACTTCGGGCATTCTTTCTCCACACAGTGAGTGGGAGCTGACCTGAACCAGCATTATGGCTCCTCTTGGTTCACTTACAGACTCTCCCTTAAGCAGACACATAATGTGATGGTACGTGCAGGTCCCAGCACTGACAGTACCTTCTCCACCCCAGGCTTTTTGTGGCATCTCTTTTCTCCTGGTATTTGGGTGAAGACAGCTTCAGGTGAAACAACCTCTAGTGAACTACTCAGGTAGCCATGTAGATCTCAGAGTGCAGGTATTTAAAGGCCCCAGGAACACAAGCACAGCTTGAGAGAAGAGAAACCAATTCATCCTGAGTCTGCATGTACCGTGTCGCAGCCTGCACTGAAGCCTTGATTTCATATGTGTTACAATTTTTTGAAAGCTCTAAAATAGAAGCAGCTCTTTCTCTTGACCCTCAACCTCTGTTTTCTGTTGACCGCTTTTCTATTTCAAAAAACTCCTGTGTTCTTTGGGCACCCACTTTTGTCATAATAAGAACTGCTCCAACAGTAATAGGAGATCACAAAAGTATAGTTACCCCACTTTTAATTATCAATCTTTTTTAGCATATAACTTGCCAATACTATTATTAATATTAATCCCTCTTGTCCCTTGTATTAGTCTGTTCTCACACTTCTTTTTTTTTTTTTTTTCTTAGACGGAGTCTTGCTCTGTCGCCCAGGCTGGTGAGCAGTGGTGCAATTTTGGCTCACTGCAACCTCTGCCTCCCAGGTTCAAGCAATTCTCCTGACTCAGCCTCCTGAGTAGCTGGGGTTACAGGTGCGCACCACCGTGCCTGGCTAATTTTTGTATTTTTGGTAGAGGTGGGGTTTCACCATGTTGGTCAGGCTGGTCTCGAACTCTTGACCTTGTGATTTGCCCACCTCGGCCTCCCAAAGTGTTGGGATTACAGGTGTGAGCCACTGCACCCGGCCCGTTCTCACACTTCTATAAAACTGGATAACTTATGAAGAAAAGAGCTTTAATTGTCACGGTTCTGTAGACTGTACAGGAAGCATGGCAGCATCTGCTTCTGGGGAGGTCTCAGGGAGCTTTTACTGGTAGCAGAAGGCAAAGCAGGAGCAGGTGTCTTACATGACTGGAGCCGGAGGAAGAGACAGGGAGGTGCCACACACTTTTAAACGATCAGATCTCACTGTAACTCACTCACTGTCACAGGAACATGTCACAGGAGATGGTGCCAAACCATTCATGAGGGACTGCCCCCATGGTCCAATCACCTCTCACCAGGCCCCACCTCCAACACTGGGGATTACATCTCAACATGAGATTTGCTGCGGACACAGATCCAAACCATATCATCCCTTTTTTTCTAAACTTTTTGTCTTCCATGCTCCTTTTTAGACATATGGGGAGCATGTTTTCCTGTCTTGGGGTCTTTGCATTTGCTGTTTTTTCTTACTGGAACCTTTCTCTTCACACTTTCACCAGGCCACTCCATCTGCTTTATATCTTTGTTAGATGTCACCCTTCCAGTGACCCCTTTCCTGCCAACTGTATTTAAAATTGTACTCACTCCCCTTCCCTGTAATTCCCATCCCTTCCCTGACTTAGTTTTCTCTGTTGCACTTATTACTCTCAGAAATATTATACGTTTACCTATTTATCTTGTTTGGTACAAGCTGAGCATCCATAATCTGAAAAGCTGAAATCCAGAATGCTCCAAAATCCGAAACTTTTTGAGGACTGACATGATGCTCGAAGGAGATGCTCATCAGAGCATTTTAGATTTCAGACATTTGGATTAGGGATGTTCAGCTAGTAAGTATATAGTGCGAATTTCCAAAATCTGAAAACAATGGAAATCCAAAACATTTCTGCTCCCAAGCATTTTGGATAAGGGATATTCAACCTGTACTGATATGTCCTACTAGTATATGACTCAATAAGGGAAAGGATTTTGTCTCCCCAATGCCACTGTTACATTTTTACTTTCTAAAACAGGGATGTACAATCAATATTTGTTGTATACAATAACTGAATTATTATCATTTTAAAAGTTTTATTATTATTATTTGTTAATTATTACAGTTATGGGCCAAATAACATTTTTGTCAAAGATGATCACACATATGGTGGTGGTCCCATAAGATATAATACCGTATTTTTATTGTATCTTTTCTAGGTTTAGATACACAAATACTAACCACTGTGTTAGAGTCATCTACAGTGTTCAGTATAGTAACATCCTATACAGGTTTGTAGCCCAGGAGCAATGGAGTACGCTGTACCATCTAAGTTTGTGTAAGACGCTCTACAGTGCTCACACAGCAATGAAATTGCCTAATGACACATTCCTCAGAAGATATCCCCATTGTTAAGCCTCTCATAACAGTATATAATTTTTTTTTTTTTTTCCTGAGACAGAGTCTTGCTGTGTCACCCAGGCTGGAGTGCAGTGGCGCAATATCGCCTCACTGCAACCTCCGCCTCCCTGCAACCTCCGCCTCCCAGGTTCAAGCAATTCTCATGCCTCAGCCTCTGGAATAGCTGGAATTACAGGTGCCTGCCACCATGCCTGGCTCAGTTTTGCATTTTTAGTAGAGATGGGGGTTTCACCATGTTGGCCAGGCTGATCTGGAACTTCCGACCTCAGGTGATCCGCCCACCTCAGGTGATCTGCCCACCTTGGTCTCCCAAAGTGGGCTGGGATTACAGGTGTGAGCCACCGCCCCCGGCTGACTATATATACTTTTAAACTAAAAACTTACCTCGTGGCAGTCACAAATAGTAAAGCCAAGAGCTCACAGACATGATTTTGTTTGATCTTTATACCAACCGCGTATAGCGGTATATAGGAGATGAGGTGTGGCATCTCCTTCTATAGGTGGGGAACCTAAGGCTCAAAGACATTATGATGTACCACAGTCCCACAACTAGTAAGTGGCAGAGCTAAGAGGAGAGAGAGATTTTTCTGACTATAGGGACCATACTCTTAAGGACTAAAAGAGAGGGGCACTGGGGAAGTAGGAAGGTGGCAGCTCCCGATGGCATCTGTGGGCTTCAGGGAAGCTTCCAGAGCACACCTGAGGAGACTAGAGTTGAGGATCTTCCATTCAAATAAATAATATTTTCTGTGACCAATTCCCTATAATCAGTTCTTAACTCCGATGCCCATGTAATCATCTTGTAAGAAGAAATGGTTTCTCCGGGTCTTACTGCTTGTTCTGAGCTGTGTTTGACATCTGACTAGCACATTGGTGCCTGGTGTTAGGTTGACAAGCAGTTCATAAGAACATTCCCGTCAGTGACGGGTTTGCCTGATTTCCGCATTGACTGACTAGAAGAGATGCTTTTGCAAAATATTTCAGGTCTTAACTAGTTCTCCACGTTCTCTTAGAAATGAGGTCAAAGAAAACATTTGGACAGATTCTTGAAGTTCTTTATAGCAGAATTTGGTGTGTTTTGAATTATTTAATAGGATGAGGGCCAAAGAAAGCTTTGTACTCTCAAGTTCTATTTTCAAAGAATCTGAGGAGTGAGTCTTTAGTTCCTTTTCTATATCCTAGGAAATCAAGTGGAAATTCTTCTTCAAGTCTTGGAGAAATGGTATCTGGGACATTTCGAGCAACTCCCACATCAACAGGTGAGGGTTTTAGTTAAACTCTTATTCATAGACTGTATTCCTTTTTAAAATATTTGAACACACATGCAAGTATTTTTGCTAATTTGGAAACAATTTGAAGGCTTAATTTAAAGGTTTTCCTAATTAATATTTCATTTCTCATTTGTTTTCTATGGTAATTTGATTTGATTTAAAATGGTACTAAAAAATTCACGTTGTTAGAATATAATTTTGAAAAATGTTATTTACCCCCCAGAGTTAATAACTGTCCATTGTGTAAACTGATGTTCAAAAAATTCATTATTTTACCTAAGAAACGGACAGACTTTAAGATGGTGAGTGCCAATAAAAAAAGGAAACAAAGTGATGCAGACTTTCAAGAAAATACCCTGTTTTCAGTCTCCATGTGGAACTTCAGGATGTATTGGTACAGCCTGAGCTGGGAGGGTTGAAGCAGAGAGTCAGGCAGGGCCCAAATGAGGGAGAGCCTCATTTCTATTTGGACAGCAGACAGCCAAGCCCTGGAATTCATGGTAATGAAGAGACAATGGTAGCCTAATTGGGAGTTGTGGCACATTTGGAAACTATGGAGGTCTTCATGTAGGAATTTTTCTTCTACCACATTCCCTGACTCCTATAGGTTAATTTCATTCTGGCCTAGAGCTGTTGCATTAGGGCATCCAGCGCCCTAATTACCAATTCCAATTGTATTACCAATTTGGAAAGGCAAGTCCAAGGTCCTCGTCTGGCCTACCAAAGCTGGAGGCAACTGGATTGGTTCTGGAATGGTTCTAAGTGTTTGGGTCCTTGTTCATGTGAAGCCCTCTGATCTACAGGACACTGAACCAAACCAGGTTTCTGAGCTGTACACAACTAGACTGGACCTGCTTGGATGTCCACAGAATTGCTTTAAATCAGTTATTGAGTGTATTTTGCTTTGTTCCCATTTATTGGACATTCAGGACATTGCAGACTTTAGCTATTACAAACAGGAAAGAACAGGAAAAACTGGTTATAAGTTTATCTGAGGAATAACTGGTTATAAATGTATTTGAAATGTAAAAGCAACATAGTAGGAAAAATGTGCCAATATTCTAGAAAATGGGCAAAAATGCCCAAGGGGGTGCAGAATTATGAGTTACAAATATAAACATAACTAGTGATTGAGGCGCTAGTCATTTTTGCCCAAGTGGTTATTCTGTTTCCTTTTATGAAATTGCATTTGCCCAACTTGTTCCCAGCAACACTGTGCTGTGTCCAGCACGGGAACAACCCATGGTGAAGGCTGGCCTGGAACTTCCAGTGTTGTTCTCAACTCCTGTACCCAACTCCCACCCAATGGGAAATTAGGATATAAGGTCGTTTGTACCAGGGAAGGAGCTATCTGTTTTTCATACGTCTTCAACATTGACATGTCCAGAATGAAATCGTAAAGCAGGTTCTCCAAAGTGGGTGATAGGAAAGTGGTGAAGATAATTATAGGGGCAAATGGGTACATTCTTCTATCTTTTAAACTCATGTACTGTCATTTGCAGAGATTACATATTTTGATATGGCTCTCGTTATTGTCTTTTAGCAAAACAGAAGCAAAAAGTGGTAAGTTGTGTTTCCTTTTTCAATCTACTGTTAAGGTTCCTATACATACATGCCTGCAATGTTCCATTTCAGTGACCCAAGTGGCTGTAAAATAAGGGAAGAGCCTCCTCGCTGGGGACTTTGATAATCATTTGTTGTTTGACCTGAGTGTTACGAATGTTGTGGCTGTGGAGAGGCATGCTCAACCTCACCTTGTCACGCGTGTCGAATCCTCTTTTTCAGACGGAGCACATTCCTCCTTACGATGTTGTGCCGTCAATGCGTCCGGTGGTGTTAGTGGGGCCGTCACTGAAAGGTTATGAGGTACAAATATCATCTGTTACTCTTCAGTTCTTGATCGAGCGCCCAGGAGACGGTCGTGTTGCCGCTTGCTCCTCAAGGGTCTGTTTCCACGTGGGTCCTGATGGAAGCCAGTGCTCAGCATGGGAAGGCAGGGGGTACTGTGTGGGGCTCACAAGGCCCTTTGCCCTTTCTTTCCTCTCTTGGACACTTCTCATCGTTTATGTATTACATTGTTTAGAAATACCTCTCTCAAAATATTTACAATGGGAAGATCTGGTCAAAGATTTACTGTGCATTAAATGCAAAGAAAAGGACTTTATCTGTCTTGACCATTCTCATTATTATTAGAAGTAATAGAGAATGAACAGCACAAGAGGACAAACAATCAATCTTCCAGCAAACCCAAACTTTGAAAGCCCAAACAGAGTTCACCCTGCTGGGTTTTTAAGATGATGGCATATGCCACCAAATCCTTCTCTGCTTGTTTATTTTAAAGGGCACATGTTTAAACTTTGGAGATTAAACAAAACCATGTGACAAGGAAAAGAGTAGAGACTTTGTTTCAGATGTTTGTTTTGACTTTGTGCTAGCATGGATTAAAAAATAGGTAGATATGGCATTAAACTCTGAAGGTGAGCAGCCTCCAGGGCACCATTCCCATCGAGCTAGGACAATGTGTGGCACATAGTAGGCACTCAGTACACATTTGCTGAACGAATTAATGAATCTCTTTCAGGCAGATCTAAGAATCCTTGCTCTCTCCCCCTCTCTTTCTCTCTTGTCTTTCTCTGAGTTGGAAATGTCAGAGGGATGAGCAGGAGGAGTGGTCTACAAAAATCCAGCCATGGGCATGGAGAATTTCCTCCAACATGCACAAACTAGCAGGAAGGCTGAGTCCAGTGCTGGCCTCAATTCTCTAGCTGCTCCTCACTGGAGGCAGGCACAGCTCAGGCGTGCCAAGGATGCCCGGCACCTGTGTACAAAGCCAGCCTGTTGTCTCCTGGCAGCAGTTCTATCCCCTAACGAGGGAAGAGGGAAGAGGGTCCGGTGAACACTGCTGGTTTGTTCCTCAACACCCTGGAGGAGAACCAAGGGGGGTGGAAATTAGCAATTGCACATGGTTAAGCATGAAAAACACCTTCCATGGTAACTTCCCCCCAGGAGACGACTGGCTGCAATAAGGTCTTGGCTCATAGTGCCCTTCCCTCCCTCCTCTCTCACTTTTGACTTCTCTCTCTCTCTCTCTGCATGTGTTTGCCTCATTCTTTTTTTCTCACCTCTGCAAAGGTAACAGACATGATGCAGAAAGCCCTCTTTGATTTCCTGAAGCACAGGTTTGATGGGAGGTGAGAAATATAGATGTTTTTGTATTTTTATTTTCCTTTAACCAAACTTGTATGATAAATTGAATTGTAGATGTATGTTTCCAGAGATTTCAGAAGTTCTCTAGTTAAAAGTTAACTCAGTATTCTTGGGAAGAATATAATAAAAGAACTCTGAAAATATGAAGTATAACATTGAGTCCCCAGTGAAGAAAGGACCAGGAGAAGAAAACTAAGCCATCTGTTTTATTTAAATGTATATGTCTTTATTTTCTCAGTTATTAATAATTTCATACCAAATGGTTTTTATTAAAAATTAATTAAAATATATAATATTTCTGATGAGTATAGTGGCTTGCTGGTCAAGCTAGGCAGTATTTGGTGTGTGTGTGTGTATATGAAAGTATAAATAGCAGTGCGTGTGTATAGCAGTGTGTGTGTATGTGTATGTGTGTCATATGAAAGTATAAATATCAAGTACTGAATTTCCTCAAACGAAGTGAGTGAGAATTATTTTAATCATAAGCCTCCCAAAGTGATCATTTTGTAGGGAATAGTACTTATATGGATATTTATTATAGTTGAGGGTTTATTTTTATTAGAAATGTCCTTGTTATTTTATTGATCTATTTTTTAATGTATCTTACTATGATCCATCAACAATATGGCTCAGACATTAGCCATTAAATAATTTTATCATTTAAGTTTTGTGAGAAATATCTAGAGAAAGTTTCTCTGTTTTGCAGAGAAATGGTAAAAAGCCTGTAATGACTCAATTCTAAATATTAAGCTCTTTCGCAATGCAGAATACAGTCCATGTAAAAATAACCACATGAAAAAACCTGAAGATTTATCAGAAATGTAGAAAATTTAAATAGCGTGCATCAAAAAGTATGGGTAAATGCATCCAATTTATTACTGTAAGATAGCAGAAGAACATCACATTCTTTATTTTTGAAGGCAGTAATTAAGTCACTCACTTTCTCTTTGCTAAATTATAAGAATGCGCTAAATGCACAAAATAATTTTAAAATGTAAAAAAAACTTCAGATAGAGTATAATAAATTGGTATATTAATAATAAAAACAAACATGGTATTGCTTTAAATGTAAATTGTATTTAACGTAAATTGTATTTAAATGTAAAATGCATTTGTTAAAAACTTTCTGGATAATTGGGTAAAATATTCATTAGTTTCTAGAACTATATAGAAAGAAAGTAAACTGAGATTTCAGTTTAAGAAATAAGAATACTTCTAGGTACATTAGAATGTAGGTCAGGCTGCCTTAATAAATAGACCCCAAAATGTGTAGTGATTCAAACACAATGGAAACTTATTATTGCTCACTTAACAGTCTGAGGCAGGTGTTCCTTGGCTGGGAGAGAGGATGGAGTTGGGGGAGGGGAGAATTGGGCAGAAAGTTTGTTCCCTCTGTCAATTGGGGCCCTTAGCCCAGGTATGATGTCTCTAGTCAGCTTGCCGGGCCTGGAGATAGGACACGTTATTACTCACATTTCACTGGTTAGAACTTGGTTATGTAGTCATACTTATTGCAGCGGAGGCACTCTTGCAGTCCAGGAGGAAGACAGAATTTGTTGAACCAGTAATAGCCTTTGTCACATTCATCTACTGGCCAAGGGCTTAATAAGAAAGATGTATTTATTCCATTTCACTCTCTTTAAAAAGGAAATAGGCAGATAATGAAGTAGCTTCAAATAAAATAAGTTCAAAGCCCTGAATCCTAGAGCATTGGAGTTGGAAGGATACATAAAATGTCTTTTAGACTAATCTCCCTTCTCCAACAACCACAATCAGATAGATAACCTGCTTCCGTTTGAAATTTTTGGCTATTGGGAATTCACTTTCTAAAAAGCATTGCAAAGAAACAGCTAAACTTTGACTTTGTAACTTAATAGGGTTGGTCTTGGTCCTGCTGTCTGATGCTCTGGCCTTAACCCTAACACTTATGCAGTTCCCTGTGGATTGAAGGCAGCCAGCATGCCTAGCCCAGTCTTCTGTGTTCTTGGGTGCACATGCACGGTTCCTTCAGATATGTATGGAGTCACATGGTTTTAACCTGTGGAGCTGTTACCTAAGGCAGTTCTGAGCAGTGCCGAATCCACTGGCCCCATAACAGCCCTATCTGAGCAAATCCCTTCCCATAAGACAGCCTACGTTTGCATTAGATTATTTTGGTCTATAACATACTGATACAAGACAGCGTTGTTAAAGGTTTGCTTTCAAGAATGAAGAATCTGATGTTCTTCCTCAATCCTGAGGCCCAGAAAAAGGGAATTTATTTAATTGTAACAGCAGAGATTTGTCCTGAATCAAGTAGAATTGTCTGCATTCATTACTGTACACATACTGTTGAAGTTGGTTTTAATAGAAATTGAATGCAAATTTCAATCTCAAGTATTCATGGGATCTGATGACGTGGCAGAGGGTCTAGAGGAAGAGCCCAGCAGCAGCGAAAGTAATAGCTGAAGAGAGAGACTTAGCCCTGGAGAAATCTGATGTATTTCTCCAGCCAGATAGGTAAATATTAAAGGGGTGAGGGGTGAGAGAATGGACTTGATTTCAAATATTAAGAGGCCAGGCAGCAGGATGAACAATAATGAGTTTCTTGACTGAGTGTATGTGGAGACTTTGATAAGAAAGAAGAAATTCGCTGGTAGCGTCACACTGACTCTGACATGTCTTCTTCGTGGGAATATTGTTAGGTTTTGAGCTATAACATTGTGCTGCATTATGTTTTACCAATTGATACAAAGAGAGAGAAAAAACAAATAGTCTTTAATTGAAACCAGCCAAGAGAACAATGACAAGGAAGGTTTTAGCACAGTGACATGGCATAAACAATACGTTCTAATGGAAACCTACTCTGTGTTTCATGGGCTATGAATGCAGTGCGTTAGACAAAATAGGAGAAAGTCCTATTATTTTTCAGGAAGTACAAAGAAGGGATCTGTTGGCTACGAGGCTTTCTTCTTTCATCTGCTTTTCAGATCTTAGTAGAAAATAATTCAACAAATTGGATGAAAGTCCAACTGTTTGATTATTGCATAATCATAAACTTGGGATTTTTTTGATACTTTAGAAATTATTTGAGTCAGTTTAGAGCTACTTATTATACAATTTTATTGCTATAGCTGCTATTGTGGGGCCTAACTGTGATACATGTAAGAAAAACAGAATACTAGGCCGGGCGCAGTGGCTCACGCCTGTAATTCCAGCACTTTGGGAGGCCGACGTGGCCAGATCAACTGAGGTCGGGAGTTCGAGACCAGCCTGACCAACATGGAGAAACCCCTTCTCTACTAAAAATACAAAATTAGCCGGGCGTGGTGGCGTATGCCTGTAATTCCAGCTACTCAAGAGGCTGAGGCAGGAAAATCGCTTGAACCTGGGAGGCGGAGGTAACGCGGTGAGCCGAGATCGTGCTATTGTACTCCAGCCTGGGCAACAGGAGCGAAACTCTGTCTCATAAAGAAAAAGAAAAGCCGGGCGCGGTGGCTCAAGCCTGTAATCCCAGCACTTTGGGAGGCTGAGACGGGCGGATCACGAGGTCAGTAGATCGAGACCATCCTGGCTAACACGGTGAAACCCCGTCTCTACTAAAAAAATACAAAAAACTAGCCGGGCGAGGTGGCGGGCGCCTGTAGTCCCAGCTACTCGGGAGGCTGAGGCAGGAGAATGGCGTAAACCCGGGAGGCGGAGCTTGCAGTGAGCTGAGATCCGGCCACTGAACTCCAGCCTGGGCGACAGAGCGAGACTCCGTCTCAAAAAAAAAAAAAAAGAAAAAAGAAAAAAGAAAAAGAAAAACACGACACTAAATAGTTCCTGAGTGCCCTCTGTATTTGTGAATATCCACATGGAGCAATGATTCCTGTGCTGGACACAGCGGATACACGATGGGCATGGAGCTTCTCTCTTCATTTCACACCACAAATATTCATTGGGGATTACCCGTTTGGATGAGGTTTGTTCAGCTCGCTGAATCTACCATTCACAGGCTGAACAGCCAGCAGTCAAACCAGTTGCAGTTTGTTGACCTATGCCAGTCATTTCAAATCCTCCCAAAAGTTGTTACTTTAGGCTTTTGACAACTGGATCAGATCAACTCTATGACATGTATTGGACAATTTGTAACTGATAATGATCATGGCCAAAAATCTTAGATGAACATCATGTAATCTACACAGATAAGATCTCAAGCTAAAGGATGCTTTTAGCCAAAGAACACATAAAGGGAAAAAAAGGGCTTGAGAAAGAATTTGAAAGAAAAGAAGCTAAACATACAACTTACGGAGACTCAAAGAGATAATACTTATTAATAAAAGGAAATGGGAATAATTGGTGCTATCACAAGGCAACCAAGCCATATAAGAATGAGGATAATTTCTAATTGCAGTCAACAAATGGTAAAAGAACAGCCACAACTTCTGTTTCGTAATCAATTTCATTCTTCTGTGCATTCTTCCTACTGTTCTCTATTCAAATGCAGACTCATAAACAGCCACTCAAACACCAGTAATAATTAATTGAACACTTCAGCGTCAAACTTGAATATTTAAATTAGTAGTTTTTGAGTACAACGTATCTGACCTGATTCTCTCACTCACATTTCACAGACTCTGGGAATGAGAGAGTTCATGGTAGACTGCCCACTTTTGAGAGTAGGATATAAGGAAACTATCTCCTTCAAGTCTTTAAATCTCCAATAATTGTTTGCCTTGTGTACATTATATATTTTTTATTAACAGAGGACACTATGAATAATTATTTAAGAATGCACTTTTATATATAACCTTATTTGCTGTTAGTGGCAATCCCATGAGATAGTTATGGCAAAGCTACTATTACCATTTTATTGATTAGGATACTGAGGTCAAAAGATAGAATGACTCATGCAACTACCAGGAGAAAGATCCAGGAAGATACTGAGGTCTTCCTGTGCGTTTCAATTCTCCTGTAAGTGCACTGTTCCATTCTTTGGAACACTTTTCCCTACTAATAGTAGAAGTTTTCAAAAATTATTATACTGTCTGGGCTGCATATTGGATGTAGCAAGGATAGAATACAGACAGATCTTACAGCTGTTATGTTACCAGTGTGGAAATGCAGATTATTTTTTAATGAATGTGTTATAACTGAAAACAATATCTTTCCACAGAAAATCACAGAAAACTAATACAGCTCATGATGGATTGCAAAAGTTAGGATGAATTCTAAAGTGGAAATAAGCAACAATGGGGGTTCAGATTTACTCTATTTAGGGAATGATGTTTGCTAGTTTTCAGGAACATTTGCTGCTACATCCAGTCTGCTGGGGAACTAAACTCCTATTAGTCTTTTACCTACTGGCCAGTAACTACTAACAGCAAGTCACAGGAAGTTTTCCAAGGGAACTTTTTAGAGATGTTTATCGAACAAGGTACATGGGAATGCTGAGACTAGGGGGTCTCAGGATAGCAAGAAAAGATGTAGAAAGGATACTACTTTAAGTTAAAAATAGTATATAAGCTAGATAGTATTCAGTTGTGAATGTGATTGCTTTTCTGGAGAGCCTTTTACAAAAAAGAATTTTGGGTTTGGTGTCTGATTTTGATAATAGTCAGCATCTTTGCATAGAAAAGAGAAACTCCTATTTTGTCTTACTGAAGGTTTTGTAGGGCTAGGCCTGTCTTCTTCTGAGTTCTGTTCTATTCATGTGTATTTTTATTAATAAATAACTTGTATTAGCAAACTAACTTGCATTAGCAAATAAACTGAGAAAACATACCCTTTATTGTTGCATCTTTCCCTCTATTTTGGAACATATGAAGCAGTTTTTTTCTGAATTTTTTCAAACTTTGGCTGTGTTTGAAAATAGCTTTGTAAAAGTACTTTTATAACTCAGAAAAAATAAATGTGGATCTGATGCTAATCTCTTCAGATTTGAAGAACCAAGAGTCTCTTGTCTGTATAGAACTAGAAAATTTGATTTTCACTTAAGCTGAATAGAATTCAACTTTCTGGGTTGTTAGGTGCTCCAAAAATCGTTAGTCTAGAAAGTTGAATTCTGTCCCTAAACCTACCCATTTGTCTCTCATCATATATTTGGATTGCTCTGAAACATGCCTGTATGTTTCTATCCAGCAGCTCCATTCTTAAAACAAATAAACCAGCAACCCAAAAACACAAAAATAAACACACATTGCCGGGCATGGTGTCTCACGCCTGTAATCCCAGCACTTTGGAAGGCTGAGGTGGGTAGATCACCTGAGGTCAGGAGTTTGAGACCAGCCTGGCCAATGTGGTGAAACCTCGTCTCTAGTAAAAATACAAAAATTAACCGGGCATGGTGGCACATGCTTGTAATCCCAGCTACTTGGGAGGCTGAGGCAGGAGGATTGCTTGAACGTGGGAGGTGGAGGTTGCAGTGAGCTAAGATTGTACCACTGCCCTCCAGCCTGGGTGACAGAGCGACACTCCGACCAAAAAATGAAAATTAAATTAAAAAAAATAAAACCACAGAAACCCTATTCTGGAAAGGAAAGGAGCTGCCTATGAGACTTCATGCCTGAAAGCTGCAGTGGCCAGCTGGAGTAGTGGAAAGTCAGGTGTGGGTTTACTCTACCTCAACTTGATTTAAATTCTTACTATCTCAGAGCAAGGCCAAGACTGACTGTGCATCCGTGCTTGACCACTTGACTCACATCTGGAGATTCGGGCTTGTAGAACACTGAACTGTAAGAGAATGGTGGAGTCAGGTGACTTGGCACTGGCCCGATGCCCAGGGGCTGGTTTAGACCTGAGCTGTAACTAACCATGTGCAGCTTTATGTGTGTGTCTCAGTTTCCCTCTTGGTAAAATGAAAAAGTTGTTACACCAGTGTTTTCTAGCAGTTGAACAGCTTTTTATAGTGAAATCATATATAAAGCCCCAGTGCAGAACACAGAAATGCAGGTGTGTTTACCTGGCACTGAGGATGGTGAAGCTGGAGCCCACTGAACCTCCCTTTAGTCCTCAGAACAGTCCCTGAGGTGTATCTGCAAAAACTCTTGGTTTCTGTGGGAGACAATTTTGAAGATGCATCAAATAATTATTAGAGTCTAACAGTTCTAAAAATTTAAGAAAAACTTCCTGACAACCTACAGCATATAAACATAATGACACAGGCAAGCAGTACTTTGCTTAAAATGGAACCAGAACTTTTGCACAGACTGTTGTTTTAAAGAATGATTTCCAAACATCTGAGGAAAGGACTATTTTAAATTTTCCCCAAGGCTTTAGGTCACTGAAATCAGGTACAGTCTCCTGACAGTGTTGTCCCCAGACAGGTATGAGATGACATATGATTCAGTAATTGTTGATAATTCTACCCTCCTTCCTGCTTCAATCCCCAAAGAGTTTGAAAACAGATGAGAATGGGTGTACTGAGTATAAAAGGGGAGGGGTGCTACTTTCTTTGTCTCCTTTCTGGGAACCAAGCTGTGAAGATAAGAATGGAGAAAGGCCCATGGTGATAGTAACTGGCTTAAAGAGGCAAACTTTGAATTCTACTGGTAGATAATTGGAAATTGAGCAATCTCAGTTTAAAATAGTCTCTAAATTCTAAGTTGCAGATGTTCTCATTTGATAAATCATATGCAAATAGATGCCCCTCTGCATTTATTTGCAATGTCTTTACTTTATTCTTCACTTTTTTTTTTTTTTTTTTTTTTTGAGACAAGGTCTTACTCTGTCTCCCAGACTGGATTGGTAGTGGCGTGATCTCGGCTCACTGCAGCTTCTGTCCCCCGGGCTCAAATGACCTCCCCCACCTCAGCCTCCCAAGTAGCTAGGACTACAAGCATGTGCCACCATACCAGGCTAGTTTTTGTATTTTAGTAGAGACAGAGTCTCACCTTGTTGGCCAGGCTGGTCTCGAACTCCTGACCTCAAATGATCCAACCACGTTGGCCTCCCAAAGTGCTGCGATTACAGGCGTGAGCCACTGGGCCAGGTCCTGCTTTATTCTTGCATGACCGCAGGATACTTTCTGACTTAGCAAATCCTGGCACAATACTCACATTGCTCTCAACTAGAGTGCCTTATGACTGCCCGCCGTATGCATTCAAAGTCATATGCAAATATGCTGAAGAATCCTATGCATGCAGAAAAAATAAAACCATTTTTTCACAGTTTTACAAATGAAGTATCCCTTCGGGCCCCTGGAGAATCATGTGTGTATCACAAAAGACTGCAACTTAGCCACAGACTGGTTGATTGTCTTTGGTAATCAAAATGAAGAGCGTTTCCCAGCTTTGACCAGCATCATTAAATGCCAGAGCAAAGCATTTGTAGTTCCTGAAAGTCTTGTTCAAGAGCAAATCAACTATGAATTGTGGCAAACTGTATTGCTGCTTCCTAGAAAGAGCATGGTTTATTTATATGTTTTGGTTCCTTCCTGGTATGGTGTGTATTATAAAGGGAATTCAGCAAGGCAGGCCATAATGGAGGAAGAATGTTTTTAATGGAGTAGGTTTTTTGTGTGTGTGTAAAACAGTTTAAACCTTCCTCCATTCTGCTCTGCTTGCATTCTGATACTAGCCAGAGCCTGTTTAAAACACTTGTGGCCAATGTTTATTATACTGTGGTTCCCCTGTAGTATGTAAATTGGTTATTAAGTACTGTGGTTCTAAATCACTTGGAGAGCCCCATAACATTTTTACTGGCTTGTTCTGTTCTGTGTTCCTATTCATAGGATATCAATAACGAGAGTGACAGCTGACATTTCTCTTGCTAAGAGGTCTGTCCTAAATAATCCCAGCAAGAGAGCAATAATTGAACGTTCGAACACCCGGTCCAGCTTAGGTAAGATGTTCAAATGTGGTACTTCTTCAAGCTGTGCTTACAGACCGGGCTGACACATGGTGCATTTGTGAATGTCTTTGTCAATTTGTTCCCCATTCTGAATGGCGGGAGCACTGAGTACCTGAAGAGAATGCTAGCTACGGCAGGAAGGCAGCAGAGTCTTGCAGTAGCCAGAGCCTGCTGTCTCTCAGCTTTAGTCAGTTAGCTAATTAGTCTGGTGGGAAGAATCCTCAATGGGCTCTCCTAGTCTTTGTCTGCCTAACCACATGAAACCACTCATCTCCACTTTGCTCAGCTTCTCAACGGGGCTAATGAGATCTGTCATACCTGAGTCACAGCTGATGTGAAAGGAAACGAGGTGTTCAGCCTTCTGAGATCTTTAGAAGAAAAGCTAGATAACGGTGTTCTTGGTGTTGCAAATGGCAATGACCATTAGTAACATGCAGGGACTTTAAACATGTCTTTCCTGGGGTACCAGTCGGAAAGCATCCTAAAATTCCCCATGATGGAGAAGAATAAAAGACTGTAAGTGAGTAGCTCCATCAAGCCATAGGTGAGCAGGGCTGTGGAGGATGGAATCACCACCCACAGAAGCAAGTCCATAGTGCTGGTGAATTACATTGTTCATCTGGAAAGCCTGTTCATGGTCTCCACAATTGCCAAGGGTGGTGTAGTCCGCTCATGACTTCCTAGGATTCTCTTTACATTCATATTCTGAGGGCAACTTGTTTTAACTAGGAAGGATAAATAGGGCTCTTCCATGCCTTACATTTTTTAAACTGTTGAAATTAGCTCTATAGATGATAGAAAACTAAACAAAATTAAGATTTCCAAGACAGAGTGCATGCCCTAACATCACACTAAGAACCCACTGACCTTGAGCCAAAGATTGTACAATTTGTAAAGAAGGTACAAAGTATTAGCTGCGTATTCCTGACATGGGATTGGCACATGATCATTGCTAATAAATGTTTGTTGGATGGTTGCTTTGTGAAGGAATACTAAACATACCAAATAGAGTAGTGGTCAGTGCTTGTGAGGGGAAGATCCCAGCGATTAGTGGTCCCTTCTTTAGTCTTGTATTTAGAGCCTTCCACATGCAGAGGGAAACATGCTCAAAGGCACAGTATTTTGACCTGGAGGAGGTACAATGGCAGTGTTGATGGTGAATCCTATTAGGTAATGACTAAAGTTAAATATCATGGGTGACAAGGACATTAAGTTAGGTTGAAGGTTTCTCAAATAAAACATCAATTCTCTGCTCTCCTGTTTTCTACCCATTTTGTAACTCCTTATAGTGTCTTTGGCTTTTAACTACTCTTTCTTCTAATGTATGGTGAGAGGCTAAAAGATAATTAAAAGCTTAAGCCAGGTTGTCTGACTCCTTTAACAACTGACACCTGCCAAGGGCTTCACCCGTACTCACTGAAGTCATTCCTTACAATCCAGTCACCCGCTGTCAGAGTCAGTGGGGTGGATGGGGGGCCAAGTTAGAGTAAACAAGAAAAAACAAAGTATATCTCAGCTCGTGGATTTTACCTTTACTCTTTAAAGTCATATACCCACAACCATTGGAGTTAATTTCATGGCAATCTGTTAATATTATAATAACCACAATGTGATCCATTTATGTGCTTGTTCATGCACATTTGTAGACTGCTTCATCAAATGTTTATTGAACACTTGTTATGTGCCATGCATTACACTAGACTTAGGAAATACAGACATATCCCACACACAGTATCTTACCCGTGGGCAAAGAGACAGAAGGGACAGATGGTTAGAATACCTGTGACAGTGGAATTATGAACAAAGAGCTAGGGGTATAAAGAAGAGTAGGGGGTAGGAGATGTGTGAGAAGACTTCTCAGGAGTTATATTTGAGCTGGTTCTTCAAGGCAGGAATGTACAAAGACATTGACATGTAAACAAAAATGTATTGTTGAGAAAGAAGTAGTTTTGTGTATAGCATGCTTAAAACAGGGAAGTTGGGGGTGTGATTTGAGAGGAACAGAAGAGACTGAAAAAGACCGAGGCCAATGTGTTGGGGTTCTAATGTGCCTTGCTAAAGAGATCTCCAAAATAGATCCCATGCAATGTTAATTTTACAACATAGTAATAGTTGTTACATTCAGAATGTTTTCCATTGTCAAATAAATTTGGAAATGATGGATTAAACTGACAGGTTTCTTCTCTGCAAGACTCTTAGAGCCTTGAAGATGTAAAGGGTAATGCATGTTTGAAATTCTAAAGAGAAGCTAGTATGGTATGCAATATATCCCTTGCACAAAACCCCCTTCTTCCCATAGGATATCTTATGAGATTATTGTTCTAGAGTACTCACTTTGGGAAATGTTGCTTTGGGCCTGGGGAGCCACTGAAGTGTTTTAAGCATGGGAGAAATATGAACAGGTTTGGGTATAAGGAATATCATTTATGACAGAGATCCTGGAGAGAGGTGGGCCCAAATCAGTCATGGTCAGTTTATAGAAGTGTTCATCGAGGTCCTCTAGCATCATAGTCCATGACTCCCCAGGGCTCCATTTGACTAGAATAGGATTATGAGGAAACCTTCATTGGAACCCCTCTGAGAATCAGTCCAGGTAGCCAACATTGTTTGGTTTGGCTGAGATCTTTTTGAAAAAAAAAGAGAGAGGGCTATATAGATAAATGTGCCTCACAGATAAAATGTATTTATTACATTCTGTATACATATTATCCAAACATTGGGCTCACCCCAGTATTTAATGTGGCCTTCTCCAGCACCCCTCCTGGCTTGTTCTGCCCAAGCACCTCTCTTCTTCTGCCCAAGTGCCCATTGCCTAAGAGTTTTGTGTTGGTTAAGCAGTAGGTATTGCTGCCCTTGCTCCTGGCAGAAACCACACTTAACCTCACTGCTGGTGCAGAGTAAATAAGGTCCAGGTATTTCTGAGTCACTTACACAGCAACTCAGAGTGCCTTGAGGGTTATTTGTACCAGGGCAGTCCAGTTCGCGTCAATGTCTTTTTGCTGCTTCTGAAAATATTGTATTCATATTTGAAGTTTAAGAAAACATAGGCTTGCTCACATATAGTCCTGGCCAGGAGCTCCCATAAGCCAGTGACAGTTTAATGAAAACAGCAAATGGAAAACATACCCTGACATCCTGAGGCTGAAATTTACTACAGTAAAAATTGACTTTATTTTCCAAACTTCCTACTGAAGAAACATTTCTTTTAAAACTTTCTGACATGTGAGAAAAAAGGGGACAAATATGTTACATTACTAACAAATGTAGAATATCATTTCAGAAGAATTTGACAAATAAGCCCACTTTGTTTTCATTAATATCCTGAAAGCTAGTCACCTTTCCAAGCAATGTGAAGTCTTTCAGGCCATTGGTATTAGATAACTTGAAAAGTGATATGTTGACTCTTCAAATGCATCCTTTTTAATACAGATCATGTCTTAAACTTCAGTGATTCTATGGGAAATAAGAATTTTATGCAATCAGGCAAAACATGAGAAAATAGAGTTTCATAATAGTCTTGAGGATTCCTGACCCTGCATACCTTGTCAATCCTTTTGGATAAGGAAGGGAGAATTTTTCGGTGGGCAATGTGAACTTGAATTTACACTAAATAAGCAAAGCAAATCACAAACACTTTTCAGTGAGGGTAGTTAGAGCAACATTACCTTTTCCCTAGGCCATCTTTAGGATCATCTGAGGCCGGGCACAGTGGCTTACACCTGTGATGCCAACACTTCAGGAAGCCAAGGCAGGAGGATTGCTTGGACTTCAGAGTTCAAGGCCAACCTGGGAAACTTAGTGAGACCCTGTCTCTACAAAAAACAAAAAATTTAGCCAGGCACAGTGATGTCCACCTGTAGTCCCAGCTACTCTTCAAACTGAGGTGGGAGGATCACTTGAGCCCAGGAAGTTGAGGCTGCAGTGAGCCTTGACTGTACCACTGCACTCCAGCATGGGCCACAGAGTGAGACCCTGTCTCTAAAAATTAATAATAATAATTTAAATTAGATAATTTTGTGTACTGTATGTACTTTGGACCAGATGACAGCATTGTTTGGTCAAATCTATAGTCAAAAAAGAAAAAAACAAAATCAGCTGGGCACAGTGACTCATGCCTGTAGTACCAGCACTTTGTGAGACCAAGGTGGGCGCATCACTTGAGATCAGGAGTTCGAGAGTTCAAGACCAGCCTGGCCAACATGGCTAAACCTCGCCTCTACTAATAATGCAAAAGTTAGCTGGGCATGGTGGCGTGTGCCTATAATCCCAGTTATGTGGGAGGCTGAGGTATAAGAATCACATGAACTGGGAGGTAGAGGTTACAGTGAGCCAAGATCATGCCACTGCACTCCAGCCTAGGCAACAGAGTGAAACCGTATCTCAAAAACGAAAACAAATCAATTTCTCTGAAAATCAAGTATAATTCAGACTTTGGGCATGATCCAATAAGTCAGGTAATTTATAAAATATATATAAAAATTTTTTATATTTCAGAAAGCCATGTCCTATATTGATTATCTGTTTTCCTTAAAAAAAAAAAAAAAAACAAAAAAATACTGGATTGCTTCAGACATTTGAAAAGAGTAGATTTTTCATTTGACTAGACTCATGCACAGATTTGGGTCACTTGGCTATTACAGCCAGCCAGAGAGATTTGCATCTAGATGCATTGCAGCGTTTTAATATAATTGGCCTTACTTTTTGTTCTTAATACTGAAGCTAATTATGCCTTAGAGCAAGTACACTGGCTCTCATACTTAAATGTAACTAGACTTAGTAATATGATTAGCTTTAAGGATAGATGCAGAGCAGTTAACCAGTGGTACAAAAATGTGCATATCAGTCAAAACAGATGAGTTGTGGGTTTTTTTTTTTTAAGCATGTCCACAAAGTATTAGTATATACTTTGTTGATAGAAATATTTCAGTGTAATTTGCTTTCCATGTGATGTTGCTTTGCACATATATTTCAGTTGTTTTCTAAATGTGGTTTCAGCTTCTATGGCTAACATTAAAGTTTTTTAGAACAAAACAATAATCAAAAACAACATAAAAGAATTGTCGTACGTATATAAACAGCTAAATATTATGTTGACTAGAAGAAGTCTGAGAGCTATCTGTGAAAATTTAAAATATTTTATTTTGTAATGTAGACCAACATATCTGAAAATATACTGTATCTTTCTAATGTAAGAACTAATTCATAACAATAACCAGGATCTATTAATTATTTTTCCTTTTAGCGGAAGTGCAAAGTGAAATTGAAAGAATCTTTGAGTTGGCAAGATCTTTGCAACTGGTTGTTCTTGATGCAGACACCATCAATCACCCAGCACAACTTATAAAGACTTCCTTAGCACCAATCATTGTTCATGTAAAAGTCTCATCTCCAAAGGTAATTAGCTCCTTTCTGTCTTAAAGGTTAGAAGTGCATCTTTTAAAAATGTGCTTTGCTCTGTGGTTTTTTCTTAGTGGACAAGGAGAACATCTTGCTGATTATTAATAAGCACATTTAAAATCTTTCCACAGTGTACAGATTCTATGAATTTTCAGATAGTGAAGAATATAATAGTTCATTTCTTCTAAAAGCTACTATTGTAGACCCCAAACCAGACAGTTACGCAAGTGTATAATAAAAACAAAACATTAAGACAGATGTGGAAAAGTAGACTCTGGCTTATCATAGACTATGAATTCTATATTGGTAAATTTCTTGGATACTGTTGATTCCTGTGTCACCCATACTCTGTACCTAGTTGAGAGAGTACATCTATATTTATCAAAAAAGATATCTATATTGATCATCTATAAAATAGAATATCACTGTTTAAACATCTCCTATGGAAGTATTATAGACCCTGACATTTGTGCTTAGGTTGAGTTCTTGAAAGAATATAGTTATTCCATGGTAAGCACAATGGGAAATTTGCTTTGTATCTTTATGGCACTGTGGGAGATAAAAATAAAAGTGAAATAGCCCCAAATTAGTTTCCTTTGATTTGGATGTTCTTTCATTTTTAAAACAGGATGTTGTTCTTAAAAAGTTAATGTGAAATGGATGCCCTTGGGAAATACCATCTTAATAATCAGTTTCTTCTCTATGCCTCCTAGTGTATTTTGGTGCCTAAATACAAATTCAACTGCCAACCAGCATGGCAGTCTCCTCTCATAGGCGGAGAATGTCTAAAGAAGCTGTACTCTCCTCCAAATTTTCTGAGATCCTATCCTTCCATCCCTGTGCAGACACTGCTTTGGTGCAGTGGACTTGGAAATCCTGAGCAAACTAGGGCCTTTTGAGAATCAGTAGAATGAATTGAAATTGCTGCTGGGGATTCCAGCACTTCACTGCAGTGCAGGAGAGTTCAGCCCTTCCCACTGCCCATGACACTGTCGTGTCCTTAAGTGCAAGAATAGGAGTTCCCAGACCCTATGTCCTGCGGTATTATGGAGCTCATAGATTAACACTGCTTGCAGGGGAAGGGCCACGGGAGATGGCAGTATATGGCCAAATGCAGTTACAGTGGTAGCCAAAAGACATAGATATATCACTGGTTTACATGTAGCAATATACTAATACAAATGTTTTGCCTGGATCCCTAATCACAGAATAGTCTGATTGTTTTAAAATTAAACTGAAATGTCCCATTAATAATTGGTGACAAAAATAACCGAACATGTAAATGACTCTGACATTTATTTGACATGGAGATAGTGAGCTAAAACATTATTCAACTGAATAATATTAAAGTATTGCTTAACATAAATGACCTGGTACAGTCCACTCCCTCCATTTTTGCAGGGCTCTCTTTGAAATCTCTGGGGAAAATCTAGGGTGGGAACTCAGGCTCCTACTGAGACTTCACTCAGAGTTGGAATAGGATGACCATATCAAATCCATGGAACTGAGAGCCAGTGTAAGCAGATGACATCATTACAGGTTTAAATATATGATTTCTCACACTGCATTTCCTCTCTTATAATGCTCGGGGCCAAGCAGACCATTAAAAAGATCCTGGCTTATTTGATTTTCTTTTAACTCATCTACAATACCTGAGGTTCATGTCTTCTTCTATCAGGTTTTACAGCGGTTGATTAAATCTAGAGGAAAGTCACAAAGTAAACACTTGAATGTTCAACTGGTGGCAGCTGATAAACTTGCACAATGTCCCCCAGTAAGTATGATCATTTTTTGTCTTCATCATTCTTGACTTGTTAGAAGAGGGTGGTTTTTTTTTTTTTCATATTGTCGTTTTCATTCTAAAATGATGGTGATGATGGTATGTTGTCATCTAAAAGATTTCTTGGAACAAACTGCTGCTGTTATGTTGCTTGTATTCAAGCATCCAGATATGGATGGTGTTTGCCTTGTAATAAGAAATGATCTTAGTGTCCGTGGTCTGCTCTCCTCAATGCTACCTTGTTTGCTTTGCAAACATGCAGCAAACCACTTAGTATTCAGCCTCCAGTCACGTGGATATGCTTAAGAAGAGAACAAAAGAAAACATACCAATTTTACCTTCCTTTAACTTTTCTGCAAGAAAATTCCAGCAGGCATAAAAGATTATAACACTGAAGGTCAATAATTGATTGGCACTAGAGAGGCCCTGTGGTTATAGTAGACAAAAGAGTCAGGGCTGAGTGAGATGAAAAACGAAATTATAGCAACTCTTCTTCTGGTGCCATTGCCAGAAAACAGCTGCTAGGTTGGAAGGTGAGCAATGGCGGGCTGGGGTGGGAGAGGGAACTGCTCTCACATGGCACTGGGTCCCCAGTGGCCAGTCTCTCCACTTTTTCCACTGACTTACTATTTCTGTGTCTATATAAAGGAAATAACTGTCCTTCTTACTCAATGGATTCATTAGATTGTTTTATATAGTTGTGTAAGATTGTTTAAGCTCTATGGAAGCATGAAATCTGATTCAAATGTTTAGAGAGGCAACACAGCATAACCTGTAAAAGCACAGACTCTGGAGCCAGATATTTGGGTTTTGAATCCACACTGACTCGTTATGTAATCTTGGGCAAGTACCTATCTCATGGGATTGGTGTAAGGATTGAGTGAATGAATATGTGGTAAAGCTGTTAGAACAGTGCCAGGCACATAAGAAGCACCATCTAAGTTTTCTTATTATAATTACTGGATACACTTTGCCTGCTGTCATGTCCGGTCCAGTAGACTCTGTAAGAACCTGTGCCTCTCTGGCTCACTGTTGTATGTCAGTTCCCTATCATAGTAGACCCATAATATATATTTGTGGAATGAGTGAATGAATGAAAGGATGGTCAGACAATAAGAGTAATAATACATCCTTTCATTCGATGTTTACAATGGGCCAGACAGTGTGCTAGATGCTTTACACAGACTATCTCTAATCTTCACAGTTACCTAGTAAGATCGGCCATATTATCCCCATTTTATAGTTTAGGCAACTGAAAACAGAGAGATTAAATGATTTCCCTAAGGTGACATAGCAAATTAGGATTCAATCTATTCTAGATCTATCTGGCTCCAAAGACAATTTCCTACTCCGTAACCCATCCACCCATACACACATGTACCTGAAGATAATTTGATAGCTTGGAGCATGGCATGCTCTGTTAAGAAGTTTAACTTCATGCTGCCTGATGAAGCTCAGTTATACAGTGGAATGTATGATTAAAGCACTGAACAATACAGAAGAATGTATTGCCCAGCCCTGACCTTTTAATGTTTCACAGCTGAAGGAAGATAATCTTTGTTGTCTAGCTATCAAAAGCCGGGAACTACGTTATTATTTCCAATTTTTGGAACAATCTTATAAGGATAATTATATCAGTTTGGTCTTCTGGGAAGCAGACACCTAAATGGAGTTAGAAATGCCAGAGATTTATTGGAGAAATTTTATTTTTATGAAAATAAGTTTATTAACATTTATTCTAATAATTACTAGAGAAAATTCTTGTGTCCTATTAAATTTGAGGGATTTTAGCTGCTGAGAGGGTTGATCATTGAGTAGTTGTACATGTAATATGGTTTGTTACATCTGAAATAGCTGGAACCAAGAAAAGATATATGCATCTGTAAAAGCAAGTAATACAATGAACTACCTTAGGACTTGTACCTAGGTCAGAGATTTCAAACAGCTCCATTACTGGAAAGACGGACTTGCCTTACCATTATCTCAGTAGGATAAACACTTTCTCTTTTTATGTAGTTGGTAAGATAACTTGGAATTTTAAACAGGCAGTCTGGATGGATAAGGTTACCTTGTACTTAACATTTTCTAAACACTGTTTACTTTATTAAACATATTCAATTGATACTGCCCAGACGGTAGTAATGCTGAGAAGGAATCATATCCTCTATTTTGGCATGTGGGAAGAAATCTTTGGATTATAAAAACCAGTAGTAACCTTAAAAAGTGCCTGCATTTGCCCCTGTTTTACTTCAAGACCATAATTATAATTGTCATCCAAAGACTAGTGATCACTGTGTCGTTTTAATTCCTTTAGGAGAATTTGCAACTTACTTAATTGGCCACCGTATCTCCAGTCTGAAAAGTCAGCAAATTACATTGGCAGAATATCACATTACTAAGAAATGAAAGGCAACAGTTTTTGGGAAGGGAAGTCTGTAAGAGCACTGAAAAAAGTTAACTCTGTAGCCAGAAGAATTCATCCTAGATCCAGGGACTATTGAAGCAAAAAGAGACTTTAAAGAGCACCCAGTATAGCATTTCCTAGACTATATTATTTATAATATGGGACCCATGTGATATCAGTAAGTGTTATGGGAAAAGAATCCTGATACCAAAAATGTTTGAGAAAACACTTACGTGAACAAAGGTAGTCTGGTTTCTTCACTACGGAACCCTGAATACGCCAATGTGTGTTTTATATCTCCAATAGGACAAATAGTATGCAGAGCTTCCCCTAAAATTGTGACTACAGATCTGCTTTTCCATTGAGTATCCTATGGGTCCAGTGGAACATGTCTAGGGAAAGATTGACTTAGTCCAATCTCCTTATTTTACAAATGATGGAACTGAGACCAAGAGAACTGGCTTTTCAAAGGTTATATGCCTGGGCGAAAGTCAGCTTAAGATCTCTTTCTCCTAGTCTAGCAAGACTAGATGATGAATGGCAACATGTCAGTTATATATTCTCCTGGAAAGAAAAATATGTGTTTTGGCCGGGTGCAGTGGCTCATGCTTGTAATCCCAGCACTTTGGGAGGACGAGGCGGGTGAATCACAAGGTCAGGAGTTTGAGACAAGCTTGACCAACACAGTGAAACCCCCTCTCTACTAAAAATACAGAAATTAGTTGGGCATGGTGGCATGCACCTGTAATCCCAGCTACTCAGGAGGCTGAGGCAGAATTGCTTGAACCTGGGAGGCAGAGGTTGCAGTGAACTGAGACGATGCCACTGCACTCCAGCCTGGGCGACAGAGCAAGACTCCATCTCAAACAAAAAAGACAAGAAAAGTATTGGGTAAGGCTTTTTCTAGGAGATAGATTAGAGAGATCAGTAAACTTTTTAAGTAAAGGGCCAGATAGTAATATCTTAGGCTTTGTGGGCTACACAGACCCCTTTGCAAAACTCCTCATCTCTGCTCTTGAGCAGGAAAGCAAACATAGACAGTGTGTAAAGAAATGGGTGTAGCTGTGTTCCAATCAAACTTCATAAAGGCATGAGACAGGCCTGATTTAGCCAGCAAACTGAAGTTACCCTTGTTCTAGGACCAAGAACAATAAAATTATTATTACTATGCAATAAAAACCATCAAAACATAGTGACTTCAAACAATGGCCACTCGTGGTATTCAGCTGGCAGCTGAGCTGGTACCTTAGCAGGAATGGCTGAAGGCTGGGCTCCGCCAGCTCTTTTTGGATACAGGCTTCTTACATGACAGCTCCAGGCTCCAAGAGCAAAGATTCCAGTCTCTTATGGCCTGGGCATAGATACCAGACCGCATCATTTCCACAGCATTTTGTTTATCAAAATAGTCACAAAGAGCAGGGTGCAGTGGTGAGTGCCTGTAGTCCCAGCTACTCAGGAGGTTGAAGCAGGAGGATCGCCTGAGCCCAGGAGTTCAACGCTGCACTGAGCTGTGATTGTGCCACTGCCCTCCAACCTGGGAGACATACTGAGACCCTGTCTCTGAAAGGAAATTTTTAAAAATTAGCTGGGCATAGTCCTAGCTACTTGGTAGGCTGAGGTGGGAGAATTGCTTGAACCCAGGGATTTGGAGCTGCAGTGAGCCAGGATTATGCCACTGCACTCCACCCGACAGAATGAGACTTGTCTCAAAAAAAAAAAAAAAAAAAAAAAAAAGTCACAGAGGCTGCCTAAATTCAAGGAGAGGGGATATAAGTCTTCATCTCCATGAGGAAATGTCAAGGAATTTGTGACCATTTAAAATCTGTCATAGACAGTAAGATGAGTGGGGAAAATGGGCTCCTGGATAGTTGTACTTTTGAAGAGGGGGGACTATCCTCTCGTTGCCCATTCGGAATTCACAGAAGAAAAGATGGGATGCAGACAAAAGGGGGCCTATGGGAACAGGACCTGCAAACCCTTCTCATTTTTTTAAAAATATGACCAGGCTGATTTTATATTACCATTACACATCTATACACTATATATTTTTATTTCTTTTTGCTTCTACCAAGTATTGGTATTCTTTTTCTCTTCAGATAAGTTGAGAATAGTATATTTTTAAAGAAGGCCAAGTATAAACTTCCCCAGTACTATGGTAATAAGAAGAAAAGCTGAGAGAGACAATTGAACATATAAATGATATGTAATCCTTTAATCCTACTTAGTTACAATCTGGCTTGTGTTTCCCAGAGCTGACCCTGTGGCAGTTTGAGCTGTGTAATGTTTTTGTGTGTGTAAAATGACATTGATCGATCTTTCTGGGAGAAGGGAACTCATCTCCTCAGTAGAGTCTTGCAAACCTCTAACGTTACAGTAACCATGGTAGCTCTCTTCTGTCACCCTTTATTTTCCACTGCTGAATGGACTCAGATTTATCCTATGAAACACAAGAATTCTGGAGCGAATGATAGTGCCCAGTTATCCTTGATCAGATTGCTCTCACAGTAGTAATTTTCCACTGCCCTCTTCCAGTCATTTTATTTGAATTATTTAGAATCGTGTGGATTTACCTGTCTATTTGAAGTGCTCT